CTTGAGAAAGATATGAAAAGGAGAATTTCTAACTCAATCTATAGATTCACCCATTGTCCCCCATTTCTAGAACTGTTCTCTGTATGTAGATTTCTATGTCTGCCTAACTTCTCTATCAAGTACTTTCCAAATGTCCCTCAAAAATCCTCCCATTCTCCATATGTACATGTGTATATACACATACATATTTTTTTTCAAATCAGCAAACTCGCCCAAAGTGGTGTAAAAGTTTTTACTAAACTATCGTGCTTAAAACATTAGTCTTCTGGCAGTTACAGAAACTACTTATTAGACATTGTTTATATTTTTCTTATTGCTGAAATTTTTATTTAGTGGTTTTACATAAGAACATATTTTATCATTTATTCAAGTTTTCTTTTATACTATGTAATGAATTTTGCAATTACTGTCTTACAGATACTGTACATATTTGGGTAAGTTTACCATGACAAATTTATAAATTTTTGATGTTATGCTCAGAATGATAAACACTTTGAATGCTTTTTCGGGGAACAATTGTATTTTAAAATCATGTTAGTATATGATATTATGGAGAAACTCTCCTTTTCATATCTTTCTCAAGAGCTTCAAAATTTGAAAGCGTGAATCACTTTAAAAATGCCTTTGAACTATAAACTCTATAACGTTTTCTGCCAAATCTGAAAGTTTCTGAAGTTCCGGAATAAGTACAGCAACAAAATAAAAGACATTCTGAATTTGACCAGCAGGTAAGGAGGCATTAACAAGAGCACTGGTGTAAGAAGGTGTCTTTGTTTAAATAAATAATGAAGAATACCTGTTCACTGGAGAAGTATCCATGTACATATTCAATTGCTTTCAATTTGTACTCTGTCAAAACAGCCTTAAAAAAACATAGAAAATCAGCATTAATATATGTAATCAGCACAGTAATATGTGTATATCAAAACCACCTAAGCAACTAAACAGGGGCAGGCCCCCCTTTAGCCCTGGCATGCAGAAGAGCAGCTAAGGTCACTGTGATGACATGACCTTCTACCTTTCCAGGTTCCATATTGCAAGGGATATATTGAGACAGCAGGAAGACCTCCTGGGCCTCCTTACTGACTCCTACACAGAAAGGGAATAAAATTGTAATAGATAAGATTCAACATTAGTGGAAATTACATATAGAATTGCTGGATATGTAGTTGAAGAGTTTCGAAACATCCCAAATCCTATCAAATTGTCATTTTTTAAGTTAAATATATCAGATGTTATTCATTCATCAATTACTTATTGAGTACCTATTATGTGCTAATTGATAGAGAAATAAGAATAAGGCAAGGTGTGGTTGAGCCTGTCAGTATTTCCACAGGGATATGAGAACCCAAGGAGGCAAGAAGACACTTCATTCAATGTCTGTGCCTGCCACTAACTGGTAGTGTGGCCTTTGGGAGGCATTTTAATTACCCTGAGAGCTTCCTCACTCATAAAAGAGAACATCACTCACTACCCACTTCAAAGAGTCACTGTGAAGATTACAATAGTCAACATTAGACCTGACACATAACAGGTACTCAGTAAATGACAGTTCCTTTTCTCTAAGGAATCTGTCAGTAGGTGAGAAGGAAATTGGTGGTCTTGACCCAGCATTATCTGGAGCTGATTCAAATTACATATGCTTCCCTTGCAGATATTTGCCAAGCTTAGAGGTGAAAACACCAGGCTATCATAATTTTGTAGCCACTAATAATTAAAAATTAACTAATCCATTTGGTTTTACTTCGAAACAATTATATTTGTACTTTCCACGTGCATCATTTTCCTAGAAGAAAATATTATGACCAGTCAACTAAAACATCCAATGTGATCAGTAGTTTAGTTTTCAATGAAAAGGTGTAAAAATGGCAATCTGGAAAATTTACACTTAGGAGTTTATCATTAACATTATTGGACACACACAAAAGCAAGTTTCTGGACCAAATTGTGGATTGTGAAGATGCCAAGACATGTCTCAGTTCTTTCATCAATGCCTGATGGGCACAGCGCTGTCCCCGGGCGTGACAGCATGGGAGCTCTGGAGTCAAGAGTTTGAAAACTGGACCCCCCACTCAGAGACTAGGTTTGCCATCTGTAAAATGAGTATAGCACCTACCTCATGGGCTGTTAGGAGGCACAAATAATACATAAAGTGTTCAGAACAGGCTCGCACAATAAGTGCTCACTAATTAACAGTTAATTTAATTTTTGAAAAACAAATTCAACATTACTTTTTCCCCTTTCTTCCCCATTTCCTATTTCTTTTCTTAGTGTCCTCTTACATGCCTCTACTTTAAATAACAGTCAATATTATCTATAGACCCATGGTGACACTCAGGAAAAGATGAGCTGCTTTAAACTAAGAGAATGTTGATGTATATAATTTCTTAGTGTCCTCTTACATGCCTCTACTTTAAATAACAGTCAATATTATCTATAGACCCACGGTGACACTCAGGAAAAGATGAGCTGCTTTAAACTAAGAGAATGTTGATGTATAATCATTTGGTAAAGCCACCAAAAAATATATTTTGACTGCAGACCACAAATATGGACTTAGTAAGTTGCCATCTCATGTGAATTTTCACCTCTGGAAAATTTTCTATTCCTCTCATTTTTTCCAACACTTAGAAGGGAGAGAATATGCACACTGACTCTGTATCTTCCAAAAATAGAAATCTGCTGGTCTACTTGAACTTAGAAATTATTTTCTCAGTTAAAAATCAGCTCATTAACAAATTGTGACAAATTCTAAGTATACAATAAGCAAACCAACATTTTATTTCAAATCTTAATTGGCCAAATTAGGTTTGCAAAACAGAAATTTGTTCAAAAAATTCAATATTGTCAAACATGAAAAATTAAACAGGTCAATTTGAAAATTTTTAAAAAGCCTTATATAAAACAAAGTAAAACAGCAAGTGCAGAGGTAATAATTTCATAAGCTGAAATAAATAAAAAGTAGCAGACTATATAAACACTTCCTTCCGTTTCAGTTAAGGGTCGTAAAACCATGGAAATGCCGAAATAATAATTGACCAGAAGGCATAACCAAAGCACGCTGTGTGGACTAATGGTACAGCAAGTTCAAAATAGGTAACCTCTATTTTATTTTTGCTCTTGAGATACTGTTAGGTTCAAGACTACATTCGAAAATTTTTGCTGTCTGTTTTATTCCAAGAGGTAGGATACATACGACAGCCTCAAAAAGAAGCAAAAACTTGGAAAGCAGGAGAAAAAAAGATTTTGAAATTAAAGTTACTTCCAGCCAATTTCTAAGAATGTGACTTTAATCTTAATGCCACACTTGTCAATAAGACACTAATTTTGTCTGGCCAAGGTAACAAATGTAGTCTGCCTATCCTTAGATTTGAAAAACCCGTCATAATAATTACCATAAAGTTAACTTTCCACTTATTACTTGTAGTTTTCAGTTACTCTTGCGTTACTGAAAGATGAGGAAATAGACTCAGAAATACAAAACCAATTATCCAAAAGTGCAGAGCTATTAAGAATTTGTAGATCCTTCTTCGGAATCGCGGATTATCTGAATATAATTCCCAAAACACCGCATTGATTCTCAAGATTAGCGTTTACATAACTTTATTTCTACTTATATCGTGTACCGTGTTAAGAAATAAACTCCCACACTACGCGTGAAAATTCAAACCACTCTGGCAATCTTAGGACTCTTACTATGCGCAATCTACACACACACACTACCCCAGAGAATAAACCATAAGAATTCATATCTCACAGAATAATTGAAGGAATCAAGTGTAATTACCTTTCTAATTTCATCCAGCACCATTTCAAAGGACTTTTTGTCCATCTTGGCTACTATCTCGACGTGGTTGTAACAGTCACACTTTCAATTACAAAACGTGCATCCCTGGTCTGATCTGCTGGTAGTAAAAATGTTGACAGCTGAGGAAAGGAACTTCAGGAGCAGGAAAAAGGATGCGAAGAGGTAGAGAGTAGTGCAAACTCCGCAAAAATTTCTAAAAACGGAGACTCAGAAAAACTTTTTATTAAAAACAAAAACCACTAGCGTCAGGCTTCCCCAGCTTCTTCACACAAAGCTTCAGGGCACCTAGGGGAAGAGCCGGGTCCTCTGAGTCCCGCAGAGAACCCGAGGTTCGGCAGCCGGGACTGAGCGCCGTTTCTTTGCAGCTAAGGGCCAGGAGCCCCGGGAGAAGGTCGTGAAGCCACTTTCCCAGCTGCAGCGGCCGGGAGACCACAGGCACCGGCGCCCGGAGCCCCGCGCGGGCGGTGGAGAGGGAGCGGCGGCCTCTCTGCCCACACCAGTCTCGGCCGCCGGCCGCGCCCCTCACCGCCGCGAACCCCGACTCATGGCCCGGTTCGCGCTCGCCCCCAGCCGCTCCGCGCGACTCCTGGGGCCCTCAGTCCGGGCAGCAGGCGGCCCGGCAGGCTCTTTGTTACAAGCTGCCGCGGCTTCCGGGAGCGGGCCGGCGGCTGGAGAGCACCGGGAGCCGGGCGAAGGGGGGCACGGCCTCGCCGAGGGGGACTCCCGAACACCGCAGCGCCTGCAGCACCAGGAAACCTAACCGGTTACCCTCCAGCCCCCGCCGGCTCATAGGGACCTTCGATAACGCCCGTCGCGCCCGAGTAAAGTCAACTCGGCGCCGTCAGCTTGGGCCGCTGTTTCCTGGAAGCCAGTGCAGGGGGCCTGGTGTGGGAACGTAGGCGTCCATAGCGGGAGCCTGTATGCCACGGAATCGGATGTAGCTGAAATCTCTCCCAGAGTCCGGCAGTCATTTTGTAAGTGTCACCCCCGCTTATGCCTCGTGTTTTCGTGTGCTATTTTTTGGCTGTTGAACCTGAATTTAAAAGAATGAACGGCGTGATGATAAGGCATATCTACGGGCGCCCCTATTTTGGTGGCCCGAGAAAGTCCGCCGTGTCCACCGCCTCGAGGGGAGGGGAAGGTGGTCACAGGGTCAGCTCGAGGCGCCTGATGAGGGGGCGCGCCCGGGGAATGCGGAACTGGTCCTTTTTTATTTTCTTTCGTCCTGCTCTCTGCTCCCTTCCGTTCTCAAAGCTAGCGCCTCCAGGGAGGGGGATTGGAGATCGGTACTTCGGCCCGGGGACCCGAACCGCTCAGGCGTGAGGCCGTTAGGCTTCCCGCAGCCACCCGCGGACCCTCCTCCTCCCTCGGCCGGCTTCCCGTCTGGTCATGGCGAGATTCTGGGTCTGCGCGACCGGTGCCGTCTTCTTTCTTGCATTTCTGGTTTTGCATTTGCGTTTTTGTGGCACTCCAGTGAGTTGAGTAGTGAGGATAATGACTGGTGGGTGTATGGGTGGCAGGGCTGGGAGGCGACGCAGCGGTCATGGGATGAAGGGGGCGACCCCTGGCCCCCTCACTAGCTCGTCTAAAAGCACCTGGGTGGGGCTGAACCTCAGAGGTGTATGGGTGGCAGGGCTGGGAGGCGACGCAGCGGTCATGGGATGAAGGGGGCGACCCCTGGCTCCCTCACTAGCTCGTCTAAAAGCACCTGGGTGGGGCTGAACCTCAGAGGTGTTGCCTTGCTCTCATAGTCTTAAAAACTTTGTATACGGTACATCGCCTTTTTCCTTATTTTCTCGTCTTCCCCAGTTCTTATTACTAAAACTTCATATAATTTTGGTCTTTAGCCTATTTCTTTGGAATCATTTTAGTTCAGCAAACTTCTGGTTGTCAAGACATGCTTAGAATAACTCTCCCCAACTCTCCCCCCCACCCCCACCCCTTTTTTCCCCTTACCTAGAGGGTAAACTGAATCTTAACCTTCTGATTTTATTTAAGGTTTTAAGGAAATTTGCTTCTCAAATTTCATGGAGAACTGAAAAACTTTTTTACCGGCTGGATGTGGGTTGGCCTAAGTATTCAGAATATTTTACCGGAGCAACATTTGGTGTTGCAGTTGATTCACTCAATGGATTGGTTTACATAGTCCAAGTAAGTAAAATTGGGATTTTTTTTAAAAAAATTAATGAACACCAAGGAAACAACAACCTGTTTTACTGTAATAACTAGCCATATGCATTTATGTTATGCTAATTGTGCAATTTATTTTTGAGTTGGTTTCAAGTATTTTGTTTTGAATGAGATAGATATTATTAATACTGTTAGGTTTTAAAGTTGGTTTCTAAACGTTACTAGTTTTCCCAATTAACCTTTAATTTTTGTTTCTCTTTGCCAAAGATTACCTTTCCTTAAAACTGAACTTATCTAAGCAATTATCTTTGTATACCTTCAGAGAGGGGATAACATCCCAAAGGTATTAGTGTTCACAGAGGATGGATATTTTCTACGAGCCTGGAATTATACAGTTGATACACCTCATGGTATATTTGCAGCCAGTACACTACATGAGCAATCCGTCTGGATCACGGATGTAGGAAGTGGTATGTGTAGTAATATCTATTAAATTATCTTGCTAGAAATCACATCTTTGCCCATGTTCTTGCTTGTACCGTCTAAAATCAGAGTTACCAAATCCGATCATAATTTCTTTAATGATTCGTGAATTTACTTGTTTCTAAAAATCTTTATATAGTACTTCTGCAGAATCAAGACATTTTACAAGGAGGCTATTATTCCTTGAACTTGTCAAAGGACGTTTTCTCTTTAAAGCATCAGTTGCTCTTCCCAGATTAAATAACTAATACTCTTGCGAAGCCAGATAAAATGGCAATCTCTGAAAGCAAATGAATGGAATCCTTGACTCTGGTTTTCCTTTACCAGTTCTCTGTGAAAAGAGATTGTGCTAAGAAACCATAACTGCATTGTTGCCCAGAGTGCAAAGATTTGCAGAAGCCGGTGTTAACATTTTTGAAGTTCTACTGACTGAAGCATGTCTTCAATCTTCCCTCCTTCAAATATTTTTAGTAGAAAATGCTGAAAAATGAAGTAAGCACAATTGAATTTACAGTTATAGAGAAAGTTTCCCAAGAAAGCAGTTTATCTGCTTGTGGCTTAAGACGAGACAGTACCAGAGACAGCCTGGCATCACCTTAGGAACTGAGGGAGGAATGGGAGGATTAAGACAATACAAGCGTTCTTCAAAAAGTTTGTGGAGAGATTTGTGTTGTCTTTTAATTCTATTGTTGCATGAAGTACCCTTGTATTTCTAGTATTCCTTGGCTCAGTGATGTTCTTGACTTAAAGGAAATCCTGTTGCCCCAATTCTGTCTAATTCAGATACCATGTTTTGGAATTAATGAAGTCTCAGTTTTTATATGTAGTGCCATTACCACATCTGTTCTCAGAACCCAAAAGATTTCTGGGCCTTAGCTGATGACTCATTTATTTCAAGCTATGTTTTAGATGTAAGATCTGGTTAAACCAAAACATCTAATCATTCTAATAAGATTTGACTGTTGTCACTTTTTTTCCCCAGGATTCTCCATTAATGACCTTTACTTTTAGTTCTATTCATTTATGCGATCCATTTTCTATTGACTTCACTGATTCCCAGAAACAAAAAGAACACAGATGATCTCTTCATTCTTTCCATTATAGCTTGTTTTCCAACCCACAGATCTAAAGACAGTTTTTATGTTCCTTCCCATTTTTAGAAGGTATAAATTTCCTCTAATGAAAATATGGCAAAAAATCAGCCATTTTTTAACAAAACATTATTTACTGATGTGTTTTCCAACCCACAGATCTAAAGACAGTTTTTATGTTCCTTCCCATTTTTAGAAGGTATACATTTCCTCTAATGAAAATATGGCAAAAAATCAGCCATTTTTTAACAAAACATTATTTACTGATATTCTGTCCCTTTCTTGGTTTCTTTAGAAACTGAGATTTGTGTATTCTCTTATTATTGCTATAAACTTTAGCTCGTGTTCAAATCAAGTATAATAATAAATACATTTTCAAGATAGAATTGTAATGGAAGCTGATTCATTTTATTTCTGGTAAGCTCAGTGTATCCAGTTTGTCTTTTGAACACCTTTCAATAGTTTGGTTTTATGTGCCTTCAAGTTGATTTCTATTAACTGCTGTATGATTTACCCTTATTGATGTTATATTTTATGCCTTTTTTGCAAGATCATTTTAACTCAAAGAAATTTTAGCATAAGTGAGACAGTAAGATACTAGTGATTTGGAGAGATTATATCCTTCTTAGGAAAGCGAAATTAATGGATTGAATTTTGGATTTGTTTCTACTAGGAGAAAGTAGTTTTAAAAAACCTGTATTATGGGGCCAGCCCCGTGGTTCACTCGGGAGAGTGCGGTGCTGGTAGCACCGAGGCCTTGGGTTCAGATCTTATATAGGGATGGCCGGTGCGCTCACTGGCTGAGCATGGTGAGGACCACACCGTGCCAAGGGTTGCAATCCCCTTACCGGTCAAAAAAAAAAACAAAAAACTGTATTTTGAAGACCTTTTTTGTTGACCTACTGAAATTTGTCTATATGTAAATGATTGAAATAACAGTTTTGAATATAAGTTGTTCCTTTCACAGTTCCTTCTTGTTTTTCTTTTACAAGCAATGCTTGTTCAAGATCATGAGATTAAATAGAACATGGTGCACCAGTAATTTAACATCATGAGCTTTCTGTACAATGAGTAAATTTTTTTGTTTGTTTTTATTTATTTGAGTTTAGAATCAATCAATTTATTTTGGAATAGTTGAGATTTTAATTCATAAACAAATTTGACTAACTTATGAAGAACTTCTATTGCTTATCAATTATAACATTTAATTATCTAAACCCATCAACCTTTTATTACTGTTCTATCAAATTTTTACTCTCAGCTTATTTGAAAAATGTGAATTTTGTACTATGGCTTTATTTGTGAAATGTGTGTGTCTATCTTTACAGGATCCTTCGGTCATACTGTTAAAAAATACAATTCCGTCAGCTTATTTGAAAAATGTGAATTTTGTACTATGGCTTTATTTGTGAAATGTGTGTGTCTACCTTTACAGGATCCTTCGGTCATACTGTTAAAAAATACAATTCCTTTGGTGATCTTGTTCAAGTCTTGGGTACCCCAGGCAAAAAAGGCATTGGTTTGAATCCCCTGCAGTTTGATAACCCCGCAGAATTATATGTAGAGGACACAGGAGAAATTTACATTGTGGATGGAGATGGAGGATTGAATAACAGATTGATCAAACTTTCCCAAGGTAAATGGGACAATTTACAATTTATTTAACAATAAATCACTCTGATAACAGGCCTGCTTATTCTTCACCAAAGGCTAGGAGTTTCCTGCAAAAGGAACTGGAGATAGTATGTGAATTTACAGTGGGCTTAAGAGGTGAGTGGGTATCCATTCAATTAAGAATGGAAAATTCAGGAACCTGGAATCCCAGTGTCAGGTATCCTGCAAGCTGATTAATCAGCAGGTGGTTTGTTGGGTGCCCTGCTCTGTTTCCTCAGTAGTATTAATGGATGCAAATCTATTACATATGAAACAATTAAATTTGATCTATGGTACTGATTGTTAAAGTAAAATAGGAATCAGAAGAAGGAGAAACTAAGTTGACTGGAGAAATAAGATTACATGAAGGAAGTAGTTCTTGAACTAAACTGGTTTTGGTGGGAAAACAAGAAGAGTGGGTGGAGCATTCATGGAGGTTTTATCTTACCAGGTCTACAGGCGGTCACTAGCAGAAGAATTGCTGAAAATGCAGTTTTGAACAGTGGAAAATAAGATTTGAGATGTCCTTGAAAGCTTATCTGAGGATTTTTGAAACTGTATTTTTGCCTATGAAGAATCTTTGAGGTTTTTTACTAGGAAAGTGATGTTACAGAAGCAGAGTCTTTACAAGACACAATGCTATATCAGGTTATATTTTGAGCGAGCTCTGTCATTTGGAGGCTATGTAGTCAGTTTATCACTTAGGAACTGAATTTGGTTGGTAACAGTTAAAGGGAGGTAGGGTGGGGATAAAACAAGAATCCAAAACATTCTGTAAAAGAAAGAAACAACCAAATTTGGTAGACAGATTGAATATGGGTATATTAGCTTCCTGTGACTGCCATAACAAATAGTCACAAACCAGGTGGCTTTAAACAACAGAAATTTGTTCTCACAGGTTTGGAATCCAGAAGTCTGAAATCTGTAGGATAGGCCATACTTTTTCTAAAGGCTTTAGGAAAGGAAAATTCTTCCTTCCCTCTTCTAGCTTCTGGTGCCTCAGGCATCCCTTGGCTTGTAGCAACATAACTCCAATTTCTGCCTCCATCTTCACATGGCTCCTTTGGGTGTCTTTGTGTCTCAAATCATTCTCTTCTTTCTCTCATAAGGATTTAGGGCTCACCTTAAATCCCAGATGACTTCTCTCAAGATCCCTAACTTAACTATACCTCAAAGACTGTATCTCCAAATAAGGTCATATTCATGGGTATTTGAGATTAGGATTTGGATGTATCTTTTGGAGGACCACAGTTCAGTGCAGGACAGTAGGTAATAAAGGAGACAGACTGTAAAAACATAATATGAAGTTTAAAGCTCAGTGAGTAATAATAGCAAACAACAGATAAATTGGGAAGGGGAACAGATTTTATGGTCAGGATGACATGAACCCTAAACAATGATTTTGAAGCAATCATGAGAAATTCAAGTGGAGGTAATAACTAAAGAAGTACATTAATTGCTTCAGGCAGTTTTTTTGTAAAGTGTAAGAAATAAGCAAATGGGTGTATAGACAGGAAGCCAGGAAAGCATAGTCAAGTCAACTGGGGGTATGATCAAATAGTTTTTTGCAACTTTTATCACAAAATAAAACAAGCAAAGGCATAAGACATTCTATGTGTTATTCTGACCATCTATATTTACCGTTTATAGATTTCATGATCCTTTGGCTGCATGGAGAAAATGGTACAGGGCCTACTGAGTTCAACATACCTCACAGTGTTACAGTTGATCCAACTGGTCGGGTAAAAATACAGTGTCATTTTATCTGGGACTGAGTGTCTGAATGTGTGTGCTTACATGTATCTAGGTGTGTATGGGCATATATAGATAGATCGTGGTGTGCATGTGTGTGTCTGGTCATGTGGATATGTATGTGTGTTAGTGGGTTTGTCTGGGCAGTTACTTTGGAGCTGGGTATACATACATTCTCTTATAAATGTTTGGGCCTATAGTGAGAGGGTTTCTTAAATATTTAGAAATAAGCAAAATAGATTTTCTATATCATTTAAAGGATACAAGGAACCAATAATGGATCCAAACATAATTCAAGTTACCTGAAAAAAAAAAAAGTTGCCCTCCTCCTTGGATAGCTCTACTATAAGTGTTTGAATATATTTTCAATCCTCTAGAAAAAAATGTGTTGATCAAAGGGAAAGGTTGGAAAGGTTAACCCTGAAACTTGAAAAAGAGAGCCACCTAAGCAAATTCTCATTCTAACTACCTCTACTCTGTTTGGGGAACAGAAAGCTTTAACCAACAAATTTCAATCAATTTCTCTCTTTCACACATCCACTATCACCTCTCTTGCTTTTACTCACCTTTTTTTTTTCTTTTTAACTGGTACGGGGATCTCAACCCTCGGCATGGTGTCGTCTGCACCACACTCAGCCAGTGAGCGCACCGGCTATCCCTATATAGGATCCAAACCTGCGGCCTCGGCACTACCAGCGCCGCACTGTCCCGAGTGAGCCATGGGGTGGGCCCTTTACTCACCTTTTAAACATAGGTATCACTTCTTTGAGGTTACCTTTCAAACAACCAAACCCCCACCAAAATTTTTTGTATTAGTTTCCCATATGTTTTTCTGTAGTAGCCTGTACTGTTCCAGTATCATAACTATCATGCAGTATTATAATCATTTATCTGTCTCCCCTAATAGATTATAGGCTGTATGAGGGCACGTACTGAATCTCTTTTGCTTTATGTCTTAGTGCTTAGCACTTAGTAGTCATTTTATAAATATTTGTTAAATGACTGAATGTCTTGATGTACAATGTATACATCAGGTTACTTGCCTTCATGCTGTTAAACATTTAATCCATTTCCACTTCTGATTCTTTGCTCGGCAAGCAGCCTTCTAATTATTGTTTGGCTTCCTATGTTGACAAAGTGAGAATGTTTTGATCATTAAATCTTTCTTTCCACCATAAGAAATTAACTGATCACGTGAGAACTCGTATGTAAATTGGGAACTAGAAATTGGTATTCTGGTTTTACAAATTCTCTCCTGAGCCTGGTTAATTACTCCTCTTCTGGACTAAGAAAACGATTTCAGAGCCTATGAGACCTAGACCCAAGTAAATTTACCATGGTGAGGAATGTCCTTCTAAGAGGCCTTGGAGATCATTTGATGGGGATACTCTGGCATTACTGAGTGATGAAAAATGAGAATGTTAATTTATACGCACTTGTTTTTTAATAACAGCAGTACTGTTGTGAACATTTTACATGATTAACTCATTTAATCATCACCACACCTTATACGAGTATGAAAAGTTAGTTTCACAGTTAAAGACTTGTTTTTGTTTCTTAAACAGGATTTCCCATAATCAAAAATTTTTAAGTGTTGAATAGAGAAGATAATGTTAACAATCTAACCTATCCTTTAATCCTAGAGTCTAAACTATATTTCCTCCTTGGTCATTTGTCTGAGAAACTGATCCCCTAATCTTTAAGGAAATCAGCCCTCAGTAAAGAATCATAGATCAGGAAAAGACCTTGAGAAATTAACTTATTTAGGCATCAACAACCTCTCTAAAATGGCATAATGAGTCTTCATTTGTTTCTGCTTGAAAATGAATTCAGTGGCCACTAAAATTCGCACACATTTACAAATATATGAGTATAGTTAGGATTATCCTTCCTTCCTTTCTTCCTTCCTTCCTTCCTTCCTTCCTTCCTTCCTTCCTTCCTTCCTTCCCCTTCCTCCCTTCCTTCCTTCCTTCTTTCCTTTCTTTCTTTCTTTAATTTTATTTTGTCAATATACAATGTGGTTGATTATTGTGGCCCATTACCAAAACCTCAATCCTTCCTCCCTCTTCTCCCTCCCTCCCTACAACCTCATATCTGTTAGCTTGTCATATCAACTTCAAGGAATTGTAATTGTTGTGTCTTATTCCCCCGCCCAGGTTTTTTGTGTATTTATTTATTTATTTATTTTTAGCTCCCACAAATAAGTGAGAACATGTGATATTTCTCTTTCTGTGCCTGACTTGTTTCACTTAATATAATTCTCTCTAGGTCCATCCATGTTGTTGCAAATGGCAGTATTTCATTCTTTTTTATAGCAGAGTAGTATTCCATTGTGTAGATATACCACATTTTCCATATCCACTCACCCGATGATGGACATTTGGGCTGTTTCCAACTCTTAGCTATTGTAAATAGTGCTGCAATGAACATTGGAGAACAGGAATATACCCAGAGGAAAGGATTATTCTTAAAAATAGTCCCTGAATCTACAGACCCAAGAAATCCAAAGGACCAGAAGCAGGGAGATTTAGGTCAGCAGGGTTGGCCCTCCCCTCCAGTCCATTCTTGCATACCTCTCTGCAGCCCTAGCCACATGTCATCAAAAACCATCTCACTTTTTGTATGCCGTAAGTTGCATACATACAATATATGAAATGTCATTTAGAATGAAACTAACTTCCAGTTTTATAATAGTTCCTTAATAACTCATTACAGCCTATAACAAGCATAAATTAAACTTATTATTTTTCTTTATGTGTTACTAAGACCTCCCAAACTTCCTCTTTAAGTGGTTCAGCACTTTGGACGTACCTTGGTAGTAGCAGGTATTAGTTTAATGATATTGCAGTATGAACGAATACCTCACTTCCTGCTATCCTGAACTCCTGAGAAGTAAGACTGGTTCTTTTTGTCTTGTTGCCTGGCACGGGAACTGATAACCTGGCAGTACTTACTGAGAGTCAGTGCTTGTTAGAGGACTG